GAACCCACAATATCTCTGGGGTATGCCTAAATAACATTAATGTTGCTATTTGAGGTTATTTACCAAGGTTTTCTTTTTCTTTTTTGTAACTTTTCCTAGACCTTCACTTATGTGTGACAGCATTAAGAAATTAAACTTTGTTTTTTCTTTTCCTTTTTTTTTTTTTTTATCCTCACCCAAGGACATTTTTCCATTTTTTGTTCAGGTAGAGTGGGAGGGAGAGAGAGGAAAGAGAGAGAGAGAGAAACATCGATGTGAAAGGGACACATCGAGTGGCTGCCACCCGCACGACCGACCAGGGCCGGGGACAAACTGCAACCGAGGTACGTGCCCTTAGCGGGAACTGAACCCGGGTCTCTCAGGACCGCAGGCCGACACTCTAACCGCTGAGCCAAACCGGCCAGGGCTCTTTTCCTTTTTTTTTTTACTTTAAATATTTTTATTTTCTATTACAGGCAACATACAATATTTCATTAGTTTCAGATGCACAACTCAGTGATTAGACATTATGTATCTTACTAAGTGATCATCCTATAAATCTAGTACCCATAACACACCCTACACAGTTATTACAATATTACTGACTATATTCCACATGCTATACTTTACATCCCTGTGACTATTCTATCAATGAATTTGTACTTCTTAATCTCTTCACCTTTTTCACCCATCCCCTCAGTTCTCTTCCCATCTGACAACTATCAACATGCTCTCTGTATCTATGGGTCTGTTACTGTTCTGCTTGTTCATTTATTTTGTTTTTTAAATTCGACATATAAGTGAAATTATATGGCATTTGTCTTCCTTGATCTGACTTACTTTACTCAGCATAATACTCTCTAGGTCCATCCATGTTGTTGAAGATGACAAGATTTTATTTTATTTTTTATGGCTGACTCATATTTCGGTATATATATATATACCACTTCTTTATCTTTTCATGTATTTGGTGAACACTTAGGTTGTTTCCATATCTTGACTATTGTAAATAATTCTGCAGTGAACATATGCATGCATGTCTTTTTGATTTAGTGTTTTAGGTTTCTTAGGAAAAATATCCTGAAGTGAAATTGCTGGGTCCTTCCTTGTCTCTTGTTATATAGCCTTTGTTTTAAAGCCTGTTTTGTCTGAAATAAGTATTGCTATTCCAGTTTTTTTGTTTGTTTCCATTTTCATGAAATACCATTTTCCATCCTTTTAGTCTGTGTGTGTCTTTCGATTTGAAGTGAGTCTCTTGTACACAGCATATATGAGGGTCTTGTTTTGTTATCCATTCAGCCTCCATATGTCTTTGATTGGAGCATTTAATCCATTTGCATTTAATATAATTGTTGATTGATGTGTATTTATTTTATTTTATTCTTTTTCTTAAAGAAGACCCTTTGACATTTCTTGTAATACAGGTTTGGTGGTGATAAACTCCTTTGGCTTTTTCTTGTTCAAAAAGCTCTTTATTTGTCCTTTGATTCTAAATGATAGCTTTGCAGGATAGAATAATCTTAGTTTTAGGTTCTTGCTTTTCATCACTTTGAATATTTCTTGCCAATCCCTTCTGACCTGCAAAGTCTCTGTTAAGAAATTAGCTGATTTTATAGGACCTCCCTTGTTTTTCTCTTGCTGCTTTTTAAAGAATTCTCACCTGAGGTCATGCTTAGAGAGGGGAAGAGAGCAAGGGAGAAGAAACATTGATGTGAGAGGGAAACATATATTGGTTGCCTTCCATATGTGCCCCAACTGGGGATCAAACCCCCAACCCAGGTATATACCCTGACCAGTAATCGAACCGGCAACCATTGGTTCACTCTGGCTGAGCTCTCATGCTGCTTTTAAGATTCGCTCTTTTTTCTTAACCTTTGGTATTTTAATTATGATGTGTCTTGGTGTGAGCCTCTTTGGGTTCATCTTGTTTGGGTCCTGGACTTTTATTTCTATTTTATTCACCAGATCGGGGAAGTCTTCTGTCATTTTTTTTTTTTTTTTCAAATAAGTTTTCAATTCATTGCTTTCTCTCTTCTTCTTCTGACACCCCCATGATGCAAATATTGGTATACTTGAAGTTGTCCCAGAGTTTCCTTATACTATCCTCATTTTGAGGGTTCCTTTTTCATTTTGCTGTTCTGATTGGGTGTTTTCTGCTTCCTTAGTTTCCAAATCTCTAATTTGATCCTCTGCTTAATTCATTCCATTGTTGTTTGTTTGTTTGTTTGTTTTTTATCCTCACCCGAGGACTTTTCCCATTTTTTTGTTCAGGTAGAGTGGGAGGGAGAGAGAGGAACAGAGAGAGAGAGAGAAACATCGATGTGAAAGGAACACATAGAGTGGCTGCCACCCGCACGACCGACCAGGGCCGGGGACAAACTGCAACCAAGGTATGTGCCCCTAGCGGGAACCGAACCCGGGTCTCTCAGGACCGCAGGCCGACGCTCTAACCGCTGAGCCAAACCGGCCAGGGCTAATTCATTCCATTGTTGATTCTCTGAAGTGTATTCTTCATTTCAGTTATTTTATTCTTCATTTCTGAATGTTATTTTTTATGTCTTCTATCTCCATATTTATGTTTTTTTATATCTTTGTGAATTTCTCACTAAGTTTATCTACTCTTCCAATAAGTTCATTGAGCATCCTTATAATCTGTGTTTTGAACTCTGCATCTACTAGATTACTTATCTTCATTTTGTTTAGTTCTTATTCTGGAGTTTTATTCTGCTGCTTCATTTGGGACATATTTCTTTGTCTCCTCATTTTGGCTTCCTCCCTGTGCTTGCTTCTATGTATTAGGTAGAGTTGCTTTGCCTGCAGGGTTTGGTAGAGAGGCCTTATGTATCATGCGTCCTGTAGGGTTCAGCAACGCAGTTTCACCAATCACCCAAGTTAGGCACTTCTAGTGAGCCTACCACCAACGTGGGCTATGTTCAGCCTCCTGTTGTAATTGAGCCTTAATTGTTATCGGCACCTCATTGGGAGAAATTTACCCCCAGGCCAATTGGCTGTAAGGACTGGCTGTGGCCACAGTGAAAGATCAGCTGTGCAGGAGCCCACCCCACAGTGCTGGACTTACTTCAGTGGGACATTGGTACATGCTCAGTCCACCCCTTAAATGTGTCACTGTGGAGTTGATTGGGTGGTGGTTCAACTTGGTCTGAAGCTGTTCACTGTGTGTGCTGATTCTGCAGCCTCTCACAAGGTGCATGTCAAGGTAAGCCATCACTTATGCCTTTCCCAGGGCTACCCAGCATGAGCTACAAAATGATCTTCAGATGGCTGCTATTTGTGCTCAGCTTGGAGATGTTTTGGAGAGGCTGACCTGTGAACTAAGACCGGCTTCTGTTAATGCTGGTTGTGGGAACATTTAGGGAGAGGTATGTGGCATGCCAAGGCCAGATGCTATTTGTTCCAGAGATTTTAGGAAAGTTTAAAGCATGAGCCAAGACAGGCCATTTGTATGGAAAAGCTACAAGTTGGGTGGGGAAGGGTCTGGGGAATTACCAGGCCTGGGTGAAGTGTTAGCCAGCTTGATGGAGACTCAGATATGGCACCCACCTGTAGGCTCTGAACGGGGAGGTCTCAGCAAAGGAACAATGGCCTCTGCCAGCACTTCTGTCTGAGAGAAAGCTGTCCCTCCCTCTCCTTCCCTGATGACAGACAACACAGTCCCTCCCCTTATGTCCCTGGAGCTCCTAGCACTGGAACTCAGTGAGTGAGTCTGAGTAAAATCCCATCATGGACCTTTTAAAAGGAATGCCTGGGACTCCAGCTACCATCCAACTCACTCAACTAAAATTCCCACAGGTTTTTAGAGACAGCAGTCATGGGGACTTCTCTTCTTGGCAGTGGAACCCTCTGCTGGGTGGCCTGATGTGGGGCTGGGACCCGTTACTCCTCAGGGAGGACTTCTGCAGCCAAGATATCCCTCTAGATTTTTATCTGTCTGTGTGTGTGTGAGACCAGCCCATTGTGCATCTCCATCCTCCTACCAGTCTTATTGTGACTTCTTCATATTCTTAGTTATAGGACTTCTGTTCAGCTAGATTTCAGGCTTTTCTGAATGATTGCTGTTCTATAGTTTAGTTGTAATTTTGATGTGGTTATAAGAGGATTTAAGTACTGCATTTACCTATATCGCCATCTTGACAAAAACCCCCTAAACTTTATTTTTTAATGAAAGAATTTTCCTAACCAACAGTATTTGAAATTATTTGTATATGCACAAATGCAATGGCCGATCCTGGAAGACTTGACATTCCTGCCACTGGGTATGTCTGAGATGTTGATGGGCTAAGTATTATAGAATCTGTGGTTTGAATTCTTACTTTGAGGGAGAGAGTTAAACATGAAGACCTTTCTTTGCATTCCTTTCCAAATCTGGGGTTTTGTGACTGTGTGGCCCTCCACATCACTCTTTTGAGTGTTCTGACTCATAAAATTAGGTTTATAATAGTAATTTTTCATAGAATTGTTGAAAGAATGTAAAGATTACTTTGTTAAGTGCATAAGTTATTCTAACTTACAGGCTCCAATAATACTTCCAACATTTTCACTATCATAATGAGTCAAGTTAAGAAAGACACTATTAATTAATTATATATTGGGCCCATGATACATATGTATTAGAGAAGAAGCAATTACTGAACTACCATGAAATAGTCCACTGCAGTCAGTGCAATACTACACATGCTGGAGAAAGGACATTTATTGGAGTGACCTACATATAAGATTGAGTTCAATTTGCAAGAGCTTCGCCATAAGTAAATGTCCTTTGTCTTTCATGGTCAGATGGTGGAGAACTGATTGTAACTGAATGGCCCTGTCATTTGTTTCTACCTTTCAACCATCTGAGTGCTGCTCTCTGCGATTTCATGTGTTCTCATGACAGAAATCACACTTGGGTTTTCTTTGGGCACCTAAACTGGCTGGCAGTCAGGGAACAAATACATGCTGTTGGACAGCATTCAAGCCTGCTTTCAGTATAAAAGTAACATTAAGGATGTGTTTCCTTACAGGATAGTGCAGAACTGATCACTTCCCTGCTTCACAGTGGAGCTGACGTACAGCAGGTTGGGTATGGTGGTCTCACTGCCCTGCATATTGCTACAATAGCTGGTCACCTGGAGGTAAGTCACACCTTAGTCACCTGTAAAAGTGTACCTGCCTCTGTGTTCTCATTCACAACTCTTTCAAATGCTTGCTTTCTTGAAGGTGATTTATTTTTTTAGCTTCTGAACCCACTCATTTATTTTTTCAGTCAAGTTAAGCTAACAATGTTTATTTTTGCTAGTCAACTCAGTCTGTTTTATAACTGTGTAATCAAACATCATTTAATATAAAAAAATGGCTGGATACACAGAGGCTTTATACCAGTAAATTAAGAGCCTAGGTTTTGGAGTCAGACAGTTCAGTTTCCATCACCTACTATGTTTACCTCAAGCAAGTTACTATACCTCCAGACATCTGTTTTCTTCATTTACAAAATTGAAATAGTAAACAACCTATTGTAATGATTAAATTGGAAAATCCATGTAAAGCACTTTGCTGCTTGTTTTAGATAGAGTAAGCACTCAATGAAAGATCATTCATTCATTCATGCATGCATTATTTGATTTATTAATCATTTTCTGTGCACTAGATACTGTTCTAGCTGTTGAAGTGACATAGCAAGAAATACAGGAAAATTTTTTATTATCTTAGAGTATAGTTGTTGAGAATAAAACAGACAATAAAGAAAGAAAAATATTATACAATGTTAGTAGTGAGCACTAGAAAATAATAAAATGAAAAGAGAGTGGTGAAGAAGTAGGCACCATTTTATAAGCTATATAGTGAAGCTATATATCATATATATTACAGCACATACAGAAACCCTGAGGTAGAAAAGAGTTAGGTGTATTTGAGGGTCATGAGGAGGCAAAGTTATTATTGTAGTATGAGCTAGAGGTAGAGTGACAGAGATGAGGTCAGGTGGGTGGTCACAAGGCACATCGCGAAGTGTTTTAAAGGCCATGGAAAAGACCCTGGATCTTGTCTTAAGTGTAATTGTTGAAATGTTGATTTAATATATGCAAAGCATTTGTATTTGTATTACTTATTTCATGTAATCTACAAATCCTCATGAAATAGTTTTTATTATTATATCCTTTTTGATAGATATAATACCAAGGCTCTTGTACAGTGATTGTCTTTACAAATTGCAAACCCACTGAGAGTCATATCTGGAAGCCTGGTTATTTCACTCAAAATTTTTACAAAATTGCTCTTGATTTCCACACTCCATCAATTGTGGTAACCACATGTTAGCTCGGCGATGTGATATATGAGAAGTCTTATATTTTCACTATTAAATAGGTATCTATTTCTCTCTTTAGTCATGTTGCAAGTTAAATTGTCTTTTCTTCACGCACACAATCATACACACACACACCTGCTGTGACTAAATAGAGCTGCATATAAAGTTGTATTTAAATAGGTGTAATTCATATATCTCAGTGTCATCTTGAAGGGCTCTTACATGTAATAAATATTAACATATCTCATTAACAGCAAAGTACTTTCCTTCATGTTGACATTTCCACTCCTTACCATGTCATTTTATTTCCCACAAAACAAATCTTTTGGTAACATTTGTTGTAAATATAAGTAAATCTGTGTTACTTGGGAGAGGGGAAATCCAATTAGAATCAGTTAAATATAAATGTTTTATTAAAAACTGAGGCCAGTGATAAAGTAAATGAAAGGTAAGCATTAAAACCTGAGTGGAAGAATTTATGACACAGACCTATGTTCTACTGAAACACATTCAAGCTCTGAATTCCAGGAGAATGACAGAATATGTTTTGCAAAACAAAATTCTTTTTGTCTGGTGCTAAGTTGATTATATATACAAGTGTTAGAACTAAAACAGGGTCTAAAGCAAGGTGATCTCATTTATATGTGGAACCTAATTAACAAAATAGACCCAGAGACATGGAGGTAAGGAACAGATTGATGAACCTCAGAAGGAGGGGAGGCGGGGAGTAGGAAGATATAAATAAAAAACCTTATATGCATGTATGTATAATCAATAACCAATGGACACAGACAACAATGCAGTGAAGGCATGGATGAGGTGAGGAAGAGGGATCAATGAGGGAGAACAACAATAAAAATAAATTTAGAAAATTTATCCAAAAAAAAGAGCGTGGCCTCTTTATCTCCTATTCAAATAGCTGTTTTCTTGCTTTGTAAATCATAGTTTGGAAGGAACTATCATATTGATTCTACAAGCCTTAGGGAAAACCCTACGCATATAATTCCAAATAGGTCTTTACTTGTTCTGCAATTCTCCATGGGTCCTCTAACTTCCTTCATTAGCTGTTGTAACATTGAATGACCTTTAGAATCAATCATTGATGGTGCATAAAACAGGTGTATATACATTAGCCTTTATTATCTTCTGATCTAATGGATTAAATAATTTACAGATCAGATAATAAAAGAAAATGGCATCCCCAAAACCTAAAAACATCATATTAAAAAATGCAGAATTTTTCCTTAGAATTATTTAAAAAATAATAATTGCAATAAATACCCACTTTCAATGTCTAGTCATTTATTTAACAAATATTCACGAGCCTCTACTTTTTACACAGCATAGTGCTAAAATATAGAAATGATACAAGAAAATATGACATTGCATTTTCTCCTAAACAATTCATAGTGTAGCTGGACATACAAAATGAATACACAGGAGAAGTTATATAAGCAGTTTAAAAGTAAAAGAACAATGTAGTCATATGTAAGGAAGAAGAAAGAGTCAAAGATCAGAGTTAATGTAATAATTAAGAATAATTAGAAATATGATATTTACATAGCAAGGAATGTAAAAGAACACAAAATTAGAAGCATCAGTTCACTGGGAATACAGATCAATGTGAAATAGAAGATTTAAGAAAGGATTTATGAGAGGGGATTGAAATTGGGCTGAACTTCGAAGAATGGTGAGAACTGGAGAAGGTAAAGAAGAGGAATTATGTCTAAAAATAGGAAGAAAGAATGAGCTGAACATATTTAGGTGAAAGTGAATAGACCAATAGCATGAAACATATGAAGAGTCCTTGTAGGTAAATTTGGATGTTAGAAATGGACCAGACTAAGGAAACAGAATAAAAGTCCAAGGAGTATAATTTAATTCAATAAGAACTTACTGTAGTTTACAATGCACAATACACAGGACAACCTGGTGTGGCAGATTAGCAGAACACAGAAGCCCCTACCCTTTAAGACACTTACAATCAATAGTATTTTTTCCAGTAGGAAATGGGGAGCCATTGAGACATTTTGATCAAGAGAATGATTGGAGATTAAAAAAATAATGTGTTGAAGAGGATTTTTTTTTACCGCAGTATTTAGTATAGATTCTGAGTGATGATATGATGATTAAACAGACAGAGAAAAAGGATTGGGCAAAGGATTCAATTTAGAGGAATAATCAATAGCTCCAGACATGTAAATTTGCTGATGACATCCACATACTCAGGTGTAAATGTTCATTAATAGTTTAGAAATGTACAACTGGCATTCAGTAGAGAAGGTGGGACTTAATTTAATTTTTGGGGAATTATATATGCAGAGGTTGTATTGAAACCATAACAATAGCTGAAAGCTGTAAATCGGATCTAATAAATGGCCAGGGACCAAGCCTAAAAGAATATCCACAGAAACCTGAGGAATTACTGTATAGACGTTGAGGAGACAAAGAAGGATTAGTCAGAGTGGAATAAAGAAAACAAGAATATTGCAGTATCACAATAATTTTGTGTATAGAGAGTTTCAACAGATAAAGGACCCTGGGTATCAAATGATACAGAAAGGTTGAGCACAATAGGATTCTATACACACACACACACACACACATAATTTTACTCTACCAAAAATGTAGATGCCTATTCCACTCCTATTTTTTCCTCTTGGTTAGGAGGGCTGGTGGCAGTGGAACCATGCGAGTTCCCTTCCGTTAGTTGTCACTTTCTCTTATTGCCCACTTTTCTCTGTGAACCAATAACTGATGCGAAGTCTGACAGGCCTCTTTGTCTACACATATCAAATTCAGACCCTCCATTAGTGTCTCAAGTGTGTTGGTCCTCCCATAATTGTGAATTCTATTAAAAATTTTTACAATACAATTTACATCGACTAGGCAGCTGTCTCCTTTGATAGTAGAAGAGAACATGGGCTGCAGAGTCCTAGACATGCTGACAGCAGTTGCAATATGAGACTCGGATTTAGATTTACTGTGCTTTGAGAAGCAAGCAAATATTGGCTGCCCTGGATCTCAATACTTCTCTCGGACGAATTTATCCATCTATCAATACATATGCATATGCTGCTTTACGCAAGAACAAAGATCCTGTCGGCAGTCAATGAACATGCCTTACACCCTCTTCTCCCCTTTGAATTCAGGGGACATGTGAGTCATATGCTTTCTAAAGCATGAAGGTTAAAAATATTAGCTAGCATTTGATAGTGCTTTATTATTCACATATGTTCATCACTTGGTTCTCCTGTGGGATAGTTACCGTTAGACCCAGTTTCTCAGGGAGAAAACGGAAGGTTAGAGGAGTTAAGTGACTTTCACAGGACCAGTCAAACAATAAATACATGAGATGGATAGGTTATGTAATTTCAAATGTTTACTCTTACAAATAAAAGAACAGTTACACCCTTATGACTCTTGTATGTATTGCTACAACGGGGCTCACATCCATGGGACACACACACACAAAAAGTATTCAGGAAACAAAACATAAACTGGATCTACTACTATTTAAAGGCCAGGCATTACTACATATACAATAACAGCAACGGTAATTGATTCAAGAATAACTTTATATGGCACCATGTAGATATAATGCATGTATGTGAGCATATAACACACACACATACATACACCTTAAGTACAAAATGCTTTATACATATTAAAATAACTCTTTAAAAAGTTGTTGTACTTAAGTGTTTTATGCAGTAGTTTCCACAGCTATTAGGAGACAAGTTAATTAGCAAATAGAAAAAAAAAACGGTCCTAGAATATTTTATTTTTCACAGAAAGGCATAGTTTCAGATACACTTTGTGCAGGTGACA